AAAAAAAAATGATCCAATAATAATTATAATTTCATGTTTACTACTGCAAATCGAAAATTCCCGAAATTCAAAACTGAAAAACGAAGCATAATGTTTAGCGGTAATCATCGTGATATTCGAAACCCTACAGATAGACACATGCAACGGTTTTTACTGTGAAGGCTTCCGGCCAAACAATCTTAAGAACCCGAAAATGTGGACCGAAGCGTGGACCGGCTGGTAATAATACACTATTGAACGATCATTAACGAATGTAATAACCGAAAAAAGAAATCTAATTTATTTCGTTTTCAAGAAATTCACGTACCTCGGACATTTTCTTTAGGTACACAAAGTACGGTGGACCAATCCCTTTCAGACCGGTTGAAGACTTGGCTTTTTCAATCGCAAGGTTTGTTCAGAACAACGGGTCGTTCTTCAATTATTACATGGTAAACTCCATTTTCATACCTAAACTTCAAACAACTTATTGCAGATTAGAATAAAAAATCTCTTTATCATTTATAAAATGTTATTAAGAAAAAAAATTATCGTTTTGTTTGTTTCAGTACCATGGAGGAACGAACTTTGGCCGGACAGCATCCGGTCTCTTCATTGCCACCAGCTATGATTATGACGCCCCTTTGGATGAATACGGTAATTTATTTTTTAATCACATATTATAAATCCTACGAAAAATAGCATAGCTTTTGCCCGATAATTGCTCATTAATGTTGTTTTATCTATCATTTACCAGGACTTACGAATGAACCGAAATATGGCCATCTGACAAATCTACACAAGGCAATTAAGCAATGCGAGCCGGCTTTAGTATCTTCCTACCCAACAGTCTCGTGGCCCGGTAAAAATCAGGAGGTAAAAATAGAAATATTGAAACAAACTATCACCTCTTTCACCAGCTTATTTTACAGTTTACCTGCAGTAAAATAATGATGTGTCTCACTCCTGCCTTTAGGTTCACGTCTTCAGAACAAACTCGGGAGCTTGCTCAGCATTTCTCGCCAACTACGACACCAGATATTCCACTAAACTGACCTTTCAAAACAAGCAATACAATTTGCCTCCTTGGTCAATCAGCATTTTGCCCGACTGCAAAACTGAGGTTTACAACAGTGCCAGGGTAAGAAAAAAAGCCTGTTTAAATTATCTAATCAAGATGAAATCTTTATACAAAAATTTTTAGGGAAAAATATATATGCAGAAGTATATAAACTTCTAGCAAGTATTTTATTCGCGTAAACTATTTGTATTTTTGCAGATTACCTCCAAGGGTTCAACCGCTAAGATGATACCCGTGGGAGGAGGATTATCTTGGCAGTCGTATAACGAGGAAACTCCTTCTGCAGATGATAGTGATACACTTCGAATGCAAGGTCTATGGGAACAAGTGAATGTTACCAGAGATAACTCGGATTATTTATGGTACCTCACTCAGTAAGTGTGCCAACATAATCATCACTACAAGTTTTTTCTTTACTTACGCAATAGAATGACTATTATTGTTGATCGTTTTTCTCACTTTTTCTAAAAATATGTTGTGATGGCTACAGAGTCGATATCGATTCTGATGAGGGATTTCTAAAGACCGGAAAATGGCCTTCTCTAACAGTTATGTCAGCAGGCCATGCACTGCACGTTTTTATCAATGGCCAGTTATCAGGTTAGTCTTTTCATCGTTTGAATTAAACGCATTTAGAATAAACCCCTTAAAGGCTTAAATAACCATGGCTCACCTTTAGTTTCATTTGTTTCGGGTTCTGTGTATAGGAACTGTGTATGGGAGCCTGGAGAACACGAAATTGACATTTAACGGCAATGTGAATTTGAGAGCTGGAGCAAACAAAATCTCGTTACTTAGTGTTGCTGTGGGTTTACCAGTGAGTTTGCCCTTCTGAAACCTGTTTTCTATAGCACTAGTGGTTATTTGACCTTATTTAAGCTTTTTTATCGTATTCAATTCTTATTAATCCGTTTCAGAATGTGGGCTTGCACTACGAGACTTGGAACACAGGAGTCTTGGGTCCCATCACCTTGAACGGCCTCAACGAGGGTACACGAGACTTAACAGAACAGAGCTGGTCATATAAGGTCTGTAGTCTGTACTTGAACACCAAAGTAACTAATTGTCCATTAAATAAAAACTTTTTGAACACTTTTTTTTTTTTTCCTAAAGAAAAGTTTTTTTCCCGTGGACAGGTCGGTCTGAAAGGTGAATCGCTCAATCTCGACACTGTTACCGGAAGTTCCTCAGTCGAATGGGTTCAAGGATCCCTTTTAGCTCAAAAGCAACCCCTAACGTGGTACAAGGTATAAGACTTTTGGGAACTCAATCCAGAGACAAATCTTAAAATCAAAAAACTTACATTTTAGCAACCAGAAGAGTCACTTTTAGTATGCTATGATTTTTTTCTTTTCCAGACTACTTTTGATGCACTTGAAGGGAACAACCCATTGGCAATAGATATGCTTAGCATGGGAAAAGGTGAAGTATGGATTAACGGCAACAGCATAGGGAGGTACTGGCCTGCTTATACAGCAAAAGGAAACTGTGGTAAATGTTATTACGCAGGCACGTTTTCGGAAAGCAAATGCCAGAGTGGCTGCGGCCAGCCCTCTCAGAGATGGTGAGACATATTCTTTTCAACTATTTACAAGAAAAATAAAAAATAAAATGAGGATTTAATGAGTTTTGGTGATTTAGGTATCATATCCCACGTTCGTGGCTCAAGCCGAGTGGAAACCTCTTAGTCGTGTTTGAAGAATGGGGCGGTGACCCGTCTAGCATTTCCTTGGTTACTAGAACAGCATCATGAAAATACATATAATATCAGCCTTTTTTTTTTTCGTGGGAGGTAATGAATAAAGTGAGATATCGATATACTCAACTTCAAAGTACAGGAAATATTAAGAGAAGACAAGATTTTTACCTTTTCCGAAGAGCTTCTCTTCAAGCTTAATGGCATAAGCAGAAGTTCTTCAGTTCTGTTGATTGATTTTGCAATGCATACTTGTAAAAGTCTACCATACCCTGGAAAGCAATCTATATAGACGATACAAAGTATTTAGGATATTGTTGGATGAATGTAATAAACTACTTAGAAAGCTACATGTCGTGTACAGTGAACTGTAAACCATATCAATGAAGCCTAATTGGCACAAAAAAAAAAAAAGTTGGATTTCTTGAAATTTAGATTCTTGTGTTACTTAAGCTGTTCTTTGCCATGATCAAACTCTGATGTAGAGTACATTAAGGAAAATCGAAAATCAATGTAGATGAAGAACACGACTATCTGTTAGCACGGATTAAGTAAACAAGAAGCTACTACAACGATAGATCTTTTTTCACAACAGGAACGACATTATACACAATTAATAACAAGGAAAGCTTTTTCGAACATACTCTTCAAGCATTTGATTATATTCATACAAAATGTGATCCCTACTCTTTACTTCAACTCCCCCACTAAAACACAGCCAAAATGCTTGAATTTTTCTGACTACATAGGATAAATTTCTGTTCAACAAGTATAAGGGCCGACCCATTTAACCCTTAGCTGGCGTGATATCGATAAAATGTCGATTTTCACCGCTAAGAGCTGAATCAAATCACAAGTTCAATAATCCATCCAGTTCTCAATCCCCCAAGAATCAGAAAACAACCATTCTTCTTGTATTAAGGCAAGATTGCCTTTGAAGTTTCATTGCCGGTTAGAGCTAAAGAAAGCCAATAATTACAAAAAGCCACAAAATCATACAAGAAACATAAAAACCTACCCACATAACATAACAGCGAAAGAAATTCTTCAGCAAAAACAGCCATTAGATAGAATTAATTAAAAACAAAAAAAAAAAATGGTACCTTTTTAACTATCTTTAGAGAAGGCTACACTGAATGCGGTCATGAAATTCTGGTAATTTCATTCTTGAAATAGCTGAAGGGAAGAGATGTAGATGAGGTAAAGTGAATCTTTTCGTGAATTCTCCACAAATTGATGACAGAGTATGAAAAGCAAGGTTATCAAGAACTCACATTATTTTTGTGTGTGCGTACTCTCCAACATTTCCTCCATTTTGTTAGAAGCGGGGAACTTTTTTTTTAGGAGATATTTAGAAGGGTGTTACTATTCACCACACTATTACTACTTATCGCCATCTTGGATAGTCATTTTTTTTTTTTTTCAGAAAATTCAAAAAATTGTAAAATCCTCTGTATCAGGCAATTTTTGGTGAGAGAATGTCGTTCGACAAGGTGCGCTTTGTGGCAATCGACCGACCGGCGATCGACGGCTAGACTCGGTTCGGCCGGCCTGACTTTTTTGGTCAGTCCAATGTTGACCGCCATATGTGGCCGACCTAGACCTACATGGCCTAAAAGTTCGGTCGGCCTGACTGAGCCCAGCCGCAATCGTTGGTCGACCGGCCAACAATTTTTTTTTTTTTTTGTGTTTTTTTTTAACTTTTCAATTTAATTTATGAAAAAAATATTATTATTAATTTATTACTATTATGTTATAGATGAAAATTGATTGTCTTATTAAGTATAATTTAGTACTATTATTTTAGAAGTTAGAAATTATTGTGTTTTTTTTTTCAAAACAAAAGGAGTATTATATCAAAATAAGGCGAACACCGTTCGACTACAAACTAGGGAAAAAGACCCAACTCCGAAACTAAAAAACAGAGGACACGCACGCAGGCGGCCTAGAGACTCAAACAATAACCAAAGCTAAGGCAAGAAACCCTGCAACCTTAGCCTACTATCCCTACCACAACAAACTAAAAAACCAGCTACTGTCCACAAGGACCTAGCCAAACCCAAAAGCAGACCCAAAACAGAGCCAAAACACCAAACCAAACTACAACATTAAACAAACTAAAACAAACAGCAACTAAACAGGACCCCCTGCAGTTCCAAAGAAAAAACTAACTACAAGCAAACCATAAAAACAGCTAAACCATAAAAGACTAAACCAAAACACAATACCCCAAAAACCTGTGCAGCTATTAAGAAGCATGAGCCATTGAGAATTCAGACCATTCTTTCAAAGCTCCCTTAATAATCATAGGTTCTGGGATCTTCTCCTGTTGAAACAACCACATGTTACGGGTTTTCCACAACCACCATAAGAGGTATGTGGAAAGTTGGATTCTGTCCTCATGGATTGCCTCCTTGCTTGTTGAGCAGATGAAATTCCACCAATCTTTGAAGTTTTCGTGTTTTGAGAAAGGGCTATCCCATTTAACTGGACTTAATTGCCATACTCTTGAAGCTCTGGGACAAAAGAAGCATACATGTTCAATAGTTTCAGCTTGTTCTCCACATGCTTGGCATATCACATCCAAGTCAAGTCCCCTTTTTTTCAAGTTTAGTTTCACTGGAAGGGTTCCTGTACAACATTTACAAATGAAATATTTTATTTTTCTTTTAATCTTCAATTTCCACAATCTGTTCCTAGCTTTCGGACCCTGAGAATCTCTGTTGCTTCCTTGAGGGATGTCCATAGCTAGCATCTTCTGCTCAATCAAGTAAGCATATGAAGCTGAAACAGAGAAAACCCCTTTTCTGTCCAACTTCCATTTCCACTTGTCATCAAGATTGGGATTTAGAGTTTTGATTTGCAAAATAGCTTCACTCTCCAGTTCCCCAAAAACCTGTTTAATAAGCCATTCATTCTAACAAGATCCCTCAGCATTCATTAAATCTCTCACCCAAATCAAATGCCCCCTAGCAATTTCCAGCATGTCAGGTCTCAGTTTTATAAGGGAGGGGATCCAATTAACATCTTCAATCTTTGTTTGCTTCCCACTTCTTATTCCCACCTGCAGGCCCTTAACAAAGGTAGGGAGGACCCCTAGCCAACTTCTCCAAAGCCAAGAAGCAGATTGTTTGCCTTCAGCTTCCAAAATTGAAGTTTGGGGAAAGTATTTGCTTTTCATAACCTTGCTTACCAGTAGCTCTGTGTTGGTGGTAATTCTCCACAATTGCTTACATATCAAAGCTTCATTAAACAATTGAATATCCTGGAAGCCTAACCCCCATTGCATTTTAGAAGAGTTAGGGAACTCCATTTCTTCCAATGTACACCTTTCTATTCCTCCTCTCATGTCTGCCACCAAAATCTGGCACATAAACTTGTGATTGCTTTGCATATAGCCACTGGAATTTTGAAGCATGCCATTGCATAAACTGGGAGAGCATTAATAATCGCCTTAATCAGGACTTCTTTGCCAGCCACAGAGAGCCATTTATTTTTCCAATTTAGCAATCTAGACCTAACTCTGTCAGTAATGAAATTGAAAGTTTCGATCTTGGATCTACTAATGCCCAGTGGAAGGCCGAGGTACCTGGTATATGTATGCCTAGAAATGCCTTGGAAAATATCACATATTTCCCTCTGCAGATGCTCAGGAGTGTTCCTGCTGAAGAACACGTACGATTTCTCCAGATTCACATGTTGCCCCGTGAATAACCGATACCTCTCCAAAATGTTTAAGATTTTTAAAGCTTGAGCAGGAACTGCCTTACCAAAGAGCAAAGAGTCGTCTGCGAATAACAAATACGAAATCGTCGGCCCCCCATTGTTCAGCCTTAACCCCGAATATTGATTGTGCGTGATTGCCTCCGAAATGAGTGCTGAAAAGACTTCTGAGACGATTAAGAAGAGAAAAGGAGATAATGGGTCTCCTTGACGCAGGCCCCTTGATGGTTTGACATGTCGTTGCACTTTTCCATTAATGTTGAAGGAGAACGAAGAAGAACAGATGCAAGCCATTATAAAGTTGACAAATTTGGGGCTAAAGCCCATCTTCAACATTATGCGCTGAACACACGACCATTCAACCCAGTCGTACGCCTTCATCATATCGAGTTTTAGCGCCATAAAGAAATTCTTTCTTGTGTGATGTCTGTTGAGGAAGTGAAAAGTCTCATGAGCAATTATAACGTTGTCTAATATCTGGCGACCTTGTAAAAAGGCTACTTGACATTCACTTATGCTGTGGTGCAGGAAGTTTTTAATTCTCATTGACAGGATTTTTGACAAAATTTTATAGAAAACGCTGCATAGGCTTATCGGGCGGTATTGACTCAGAAACTCCGGTGATTGGACTTTTGGAATGAGAGTGACCACGGTTTGATTCCAATATTGCAACATATTTCCAGATAGAAAGAAACTTTGAACAGCCTTCACCAAATCACATTTGATTAGTCTCCAGAATTTTTGGTAGAACATCGCTGTCATGTCGTCTTCACCCGGAGACTTTTCAGGATGCATTGAGAACAGGGCTTCCTTTACTTCCTCTTCTAACACTGGGTTTTCGAAATCTGTCTTCATCTCCCCTGTGATAGTTGTGGGAATTAATTCCAGAATGCTGTCAGCCCCCATGGTCCCTTCTGAGGTGAACAAATTGTTATAGAACTGAGTGACATGCTCTGTAATCTCCTGAGGTGTCTGCAGAACTTGGTTTCCCTGAGCAATTAATCTACTGCTGACATTGGTCCTCCTCCTTTGGGATGTGATAGCATAAAAAAATCTCGTGTTTCTGTCCCCCTCTCTAAGCCACAAATTTCTGGATTTTTGTTGCCAGAAACTTTCCTCCTGAGAGTGCACAATATCTAACTCCCTTCTTATGCTCTCTTTGTCCTCCCATTTAGCACCCCCTGGTTTCGATTTCACTTCTTCTAGCCTTTTGTTCAAATGGAGGTTTTTTTCTTGATTCTGGCTTCTGAACTTGGAACTCCACCTTAATAAAGCCACCCTAGTATTTTTCACTTTTTCTTTTACAATAAACATGGGAGTCCCATTCATATGCTTCCTCCACACTTTGGCCACTACTTCTTCAATACCCTCTCTCTTCAGCCACCACTTATCAAACACAAATCTCCTTCCTTTCCTATCCCCTAATTGCCTTGTGTCAATGATTAGGAGTGAATGATCTGAAGCACTCTTCTCTTCAGCAAAGGAGAACACTCTAGGATGAGCTAAGTGCCAATCATAAGATCCAAAAGCTCTATCCAGCTTTGCCTCAACCCAATCCTCTGCTCTTCTATTATTGGCCCATGTAAACTGGTAGCCCTACATCCTAACTTACTCCATGCCCATATTAGCTATGAAATTGTTGAAACCCACATATCTCCATCATTTCTCTCTACTCCACCTCTTTTCTCCAGCTATAAACCAATTCGAACCCCACTCCCTTTTATCCCCCTGCAGAACCCTCCACTGCTCTTCTCTTTCTTCTCTTCTCATACTTAAGTACACAAACACTCCCCAACAGCTGGCCCTTTCTTTCAATTTGAACTTCACCTCCATACATAATTCTCTTTTCCCCATCCTCAAAATCTCCACTTCTTTGTTCCATAGTAATAATAGCCCTCCTCTCATCCCTAAAGGTTCCACACTGCAGCTATAATCTTGGAGCCCAAGCTTTTTAACCACTGATTTCACAAATTGCTTAGAGTTTTTAGTTTCTGACAGAAAAAATAAACTTGGGTGGTGAGTCTTAATTGACTCTTGGATTTGGGAAACTGTAGAGGGCCCACCCAGCCCTCTACAATTCTACACCCCCACCTTTATCACTTGGGTGCCACTCTAGGCTGGCCACCTCCACCTTGTAGTAGTTGGTTTCAACTTCTTCCCCACTTAAGTATCATCCCCTCTAGCTTCCTCATTTTTTGAAATGGCTTGAAGATTTGCTCTGTCTCTTTTGGGTTCCTCTGACTGGGCTACTTCTTTCTCATGACCTTCTAATCTTCTGAGCCTTCTTTCACTTGGGCCTTTCCTTTTCTAAGTACTGATTCTAGAAGTGACTTTATGGCTTGGAACTACTTCCTTCCCCCTTAACTGGATATGACTTTCTTGTTCACCCCCAATTTCAGTTTCCATAGCTTCTGTTGCAGCATAAGGAATGACTTGGCCTCCCTCAAGGATACTATATTCTATTATGAAGTTTTCTCTAGGATCACTTGAGCTGTTGACTATCTCTTGATTAGAATTGATTGTTTTATAAATTATAAGTTACTACTATTATGTTAGAAGTTAGAAATTGTTGTGTTATAGATTAAAATTGATTATTTTATAAATTAGATTTTATTACTATTATGTTAGAAGTTAGAAATTATTATGTTATAGATTAGAATTGATTGTCTTATAGAGTAGAAATTTTGTACTATTATTTTGGAAATTAGAAATTATTGTGTTATAGATTAGAATTGGTTGTGCTATAAATTAGAATTTATTACTATAAAGTTAGAAGTTAGAACTGATTATTTAATAAATTACTAGTATTTTCACCCGTGCGATGCACGGAACATATTTATTAAAATATTTTAATAAATACATTAAAATATATAGATATAGATATATATATATATATATCATAAAAAGTAAATGACAAATAAATAACATTATTATTGAATAGATAGTAAAAGTACAATATTATATGGTATTGCAAATTATGAAAAACTTCTTGATAGACAACATTTTTAGTAGTTTTCTTTTCCCCATTGTCGTCCCCCCACATATTAATATCTTAAATCATGTGGATTAGTGACTCGAGACACATTAACGTATAATTGACCAGGACTAATAAACACCAGTCTTTTCATGTAAAGTCCGACATGGAATAACGACTTCTCTTGACTCTTGTTGATTGTCATTGCGTAAGAAAACATAAGAGTAAATTGTCTACGTTGGAACTTGAAGGGTATCATGAGATCAGATGGAGTTAGGGAAAGTTTTGATACCAATACCTTATGTCCACCATTTGATCCTGTTAGAATCTTACATTCAAACATGTGAGTGAAAAGTTTCGTTATCACCAAGCGTGTTCCATTACACAGTCCAATTGAATGATCAATGTTTCTCAACAACATGACAGGAGTCCCAACCTTTAAGTGCAATTCATGATTTGGAAAGCCATAACATTTTATACTATTTAAGAACTCCAGAGTGTGTAGGTCATGCAAGAAATCAACACCACCATCGGATTTGAATATGAGAGAACAATATAACGACACAAATTTTGAATATGAGATATATAGCGTGAATTACTCCTATTTTGTACTCAAGTATCTTGGTAACTTTGGGTGTATTTTGTTAAGCATTCACCAATAATAATGCTTAATTTTTATTGACATTAATATAATTCAAGTATTTTGTTAAGCACTCACCGGTAAAATTTCAAAAATGATACATTAAATTGGCGTTGTCAACAAAACAAATATTTTGTTGTCCCTCACGGAAAAGAAATATTTAGTTGACAATTTGGTCGGAAAGATACATTAATCACTCAACCTTGATAAATAACTAACGTGGCCGGATTAGATAATGACGTGACATTATAAATTTCCTTTATTTCCTACGTGGCGTGATGTGTCATCCTTCTCTCCAAGTACAACTACGCATAGATAAATAAAAATAAAAATAATCCAAAAATAAATAAATAAACAAATAATAAAAACACATCAGAAAAAATATAATAATAGTAATAATAATAATAATAATAATAATAATAATAATAATAATAATAATAATAAACAGAAAAATAAAATAAAATCCAAAAATAAAAAAAAATAGAAAAAATATATTTCGTTCTATTTTGTCAGCTATATATTAATAAAATATTCAAAAAATTAATAGCTTGTTAATATATATTAAAAAATAAAAAAATATTTCGTTAATATTTCGTTTAATATAAATATATTTCACTAATATATATTAAAAAATACTAAAAAAAGAAAAATGAAATTCATTAATAATAATAATTATATATAATTTATTATACTATCAAATATAATACTTTACACAATATTTTATTTATTTAATATATATAAGTATATTAAATATAAATATAAATTTATATTTAAATAAATTAAAATATATTTTTTTAGATATATATTTTTGAAATAAATCAAAATATATTATTTTTTTGGTACAGGGACCTTCCGGTTTCCGGATCCACAGGGGAACCGACTAATCCGGAATCGAGCCGGGTAGAACCACAAGGGTGGCAAAGCTCTCCCTCAAGAGTTTTAACACTGCTGCATTCCCAGGGCTCGAACACGAGACCACTGGTTAAGCTGGAAGAGACCCAAGCCATCTCATCCAAGCGCTCTTGGGTATTAAAATATATTATTGACATCATGAAACAGCAACTTTAAAATTCTTTCCATATGGAAACGTAAAAAATATACAATGAATGAGTGAATTTTTAAAGTTGCTATTCTGGTTCTTTAGTTTTTTATAAAACAACAACTTAGGTATTTTTAAAGTTGTTGTTCCGGTTCTTTAGTTTTTTTTGTCCCAACGGTCCGTGTCCAGCCGATCCGGGTCGCAGGTTGGAAGCAGGGCAGTCTTTGTAATTTTTTCTTTCAAAGGGCCTCGCCGGTAAAATGAATGAGTAAATTTGTCATTTATGTATTTCTGCATGGGTGCAGAACATACACACACACTGATGATTTATGAGATCGAACAGGATGTTTAGGGGCATGTTGAGTATGTTATTTGTAGAGTTAGGTAAATTTGTTAATCTTATAGAAAACATGTAAATGGATTTTATTCGTAGATGTTCATTATTGGTCGTGGCCATTTGAATATTTATGCTGCTTTGTTCAATTGGTTGCAAGTGATGGAATTATTTTTACATTATATTGTTCTTTCATAATTCAAGAAAAATGAATTATACATTAATATACTACAATCTTTGCGCAAATTTATGAATCATTTTATTTCAGTTTTTCTACAAATAAACTAATCCAATTTTATTTGTATAAGATTCTTTCCATATGGAAACTGAATCATTTTATTTCAGTTTTTCTACAATTAAACTAATCCAATTTTATTTGTATAAGATTCTTTCCATATGGAAACGTAAAAAATAATATTTAATATGTTTTTTTCTTACCATATATAAAAAATTATAAAAAAGTTATATATCATCATTTCAAATCATTTGATATAAAAAAATGATTCAATACCATAAATTATTGTTGAATAATCCACGTACTTTGATTATCAAGTCATATAAGATACTCATTCTATATTAAATTGATAATTAATTATCATGAATGATTTAATAAACTAAAAAGACAAACATACTAATTATATATTTGTTTCCAAAAATATTGTTGATACCATTTCCAAAAGAAGCATTTACATTTATTATTAGTAACCTCAATTCCATCAACTCCCTCTTTATATATATATAGATAATCTATTATTATTATTATATTAGAAGTTATAATTGATTGTCTTGTAAAATTATTAACATACATCGTAATATATTGCAGGTTTCACTCGAAAATTTTGGAGGGGATTGTTTTGATTACATACCTGTTTTCACTACAAATGAACTATTTGATAGTTGTGAAGAAGCTGTTGAGTGGGCAAAAAAGTTGGCAATTATATATGGTTCAAATTGATCATCTTGAAACACAAAACAAAAGGAAAGCAGAAGGTTGTGAGGTGTAAGCGAGGGGAACGTTACAGTGGCAGTATAGGGGATTTGGTTAAGGCTGTTATCAGACGTTCGAAAACTAACGCGTCCAAATGCCCATTTCAGATAAAAGTGAAACTGGTGGCAGAATCAACAAAATAGAGTATTTGGGTTCCTTCTGATGCTCGGAAAGGAATGCATAATCATGCAATGGTTGTGTATCCCGAGGGTCATCGACAGATGAGCGAACTTAGCGCTTCATATAAAGAGATTGTCCGTGATATGACTGCTGCTCAGGAAAAACTGACAGTTATTTTGTCTGCGATTCAGGAGAAAAACCCAGTAGACAATGCTACTCGCCGACATGTGTATAACTATAGAATTGCAGAGAGATAGTTTCGCGGGTGGAGATGTGAATGGCCAGATTCTGCATTTGTAGGGATGTAAATGGGTCATGTCGGGTACGGGTTTTGACAAAACCGAACCCGACCCGCATGTAATTTACCCTACCCAAACCCGACCCGTTACCCAGTTAGTGATCTTCGGGTTCGGGTTGGGTTTACCTAATGGGTTAGTGGGTTTTTGTCGGGTAAACGGATAACCTAGGTTCTTAACTTTGGGCTTTACCCGATCCATCTCGTTTCATATTAAAAAATAAAATAAAAGAATTTCACAATTAATTATTCTGTAACACACAATTTATTAACTAAGTTCGACAATAAAAAACTACAAAAAAATTATATTATTTTTGGAATAAATAATGAGATATAATTATTTATCTTGTATAGTCAATTTAATAATAATATATTTAAGAATTAAGTATTAAAATTTTTATTATACAATTAACAAAAATTGATTATAAAAACATAAAAAAGAAAATAAAATTTAACCATTAATCAAACTTATAATAAATAATCTAATTTTTAATATTAATAACACATGACTACTTTTATATTTATAATAAGTTATATATATATATATACATATATATATATATATATATATATATATATATGTGTGTGTGTGTGTGTAAATATAAGATTCAACAATTGCGGGTGAACGGTAGGGTAATCGGGTCGGGTAACGGGTTTTTCTACTATACCTGCACCCGACCCGTCCCGAAGTTCGGGTAGCATAATTCTACCCGACCCGACCCAAAACCCGATCATCTCGGGTTTACCCGACCTGAAAATGTGGGTAACCCATGGGTAACCCGACCCTACGGGTTTAATTGACATCCCTATGCATTTGGCTACGACTAACAAGTATATAGTTTACACAGATGTTGAACAGGACCCATAAGCGTTGACAGGTGTGTTCATGTCGTATTCTCAGCAGCCAGACTATTTCGGACATATTACTGGTACGTCGGTATAGATTCGACGTATAAAACCAACAAGTATGTTACTTTATAAAAAAACAAATAATTAGTATGAATTTTAATTACTATGTTTGAGTAAGTTTTTTGATTCTATATTTTTTCTTGTTACTTTCATTTGCACATGTACCCGATGTCGTTGGTGGAAATTATTGGGATGACGCCGTGCTACAAGAACTTCTTCATATGCAGTTATCAAGGACGAAAGCGAGTACAACTATGACTGGGTTGTACAGAGGTTGAGACTTTTGATAGGGCCTGATGTATATCCTTCAGCTATTGTCACTGACAAGGGGTTGAGCTTGATTACTCATATTCAGAGAAATTTTCCAGAGTCTGACCACTTACTTTGCACATGGCACATCAACAAGGATGTGGAAGACACTGTCTATCGACTAGGAAGAAAAAAATAAGGTCTTCGCTCAGAAGTTCACGCACGGCAGGTGGAAGAAGGTTGTCGAAGCGATCACGGTGGAGGAATACAACATTTTCGTAGGTGATATTTATCTTCGGTATGCAATGTTTTCTCGTGTGGTACAATATGTGGAACATACATGGTTAGTCCACAAGGAGAAGTTTGTCAAAGCGTGGATGAATTCAGTTTTACATTTTGGTACACAATGTCGTGTAGGGTGGAGAGTGCCCGCGCTGTGTTGAGGCAGTGGCTTAATACGTCAATCGATTCGCTCGACACAGCGTGGGAGAAGATTCATAAGGAGACTGATTCTCAACTGAGTCAAGTCAGGTACATTTATTAAGCTACACATGTGTACTGTGTTATTACTGCATTCATTATGAACTTCATTGGGTATAATGCTATATAATTTATTGTCAGGTCCACCCTGGAGGCTTGAAGACTTAGGATGAGTGTGCAATATACGGAATTTCCTTCGCGTACTTGAGACTGCATGTCTCGCATTGCTGTCTAGATTTATTTAATGATGAGCTTCAGAGGATGCGACACTTGAGCGATGAGGTTTCGGGGTACTGTGGATGTGTACTAATATACACTCATGAAGTTCCTTGTGCATGTGACCCAAGGTCGACACACACTATGGAAATTAGTGTCGACATGATCCACATGTTTTGGAGCACGCTAGAGGTGTCAGAGTCGAGCATAATTGCGAGAT